TACTGACCTCTGTCATCATTTTAGGTGGGGGAACTTGCACAATCGGTAGCTGACTAAATACTTTTTTGCCCCACTGTATATTTACATCATGCAGCTGCAAATAAAAAGTATTTTTACTAGTTTTTTAATATAGTATTAAATCACAATGTAACAATTTACTAAAACTAGTAGTTGAATGTAAAGTTTGACTTCACTTAATGTAATCTGAGTGTGAAACCTTTACCATGGTTTCACTCTGTTACAGTGCAAATGTGATGCAAATGTGTACAAACCTCCCTGACAGGTGGATCAGGCCTAGTCGTCACCACAGTCACAGAGGTTGTGTATTCTTTAAATTTCATTGTCACTCCATAGATACAAAAGGCAGAGTGGATACAGAGATTCCAGCTCATTTACCCATTTACACTTGAACCATAAAAAACTCCAGCACTGCCCCACAAATACAGGACCGAGCCTCATATGTGCTTTGGTACATGAACAGCAGACAATAGCAACCCAGGAATATAAGTGACAAGCTGGTAAGTTGTCGTTATATCACGTCCACGTGTGATCCTTTCAACGCCTTCTGATTTAGCAGGTTCACGGACAGGCCGACTGACGGATGGATGGATTTAGATACACAGACACACGTGCACATAAGGCGCTGGACATGCTGTGTGTGTTTGTGTGTTTGTGTGCATAGATGGCAGTCAATGCATGGTGAAACCTGAGCAGCATAACACACAAAGTACTACAACTGAATGCCTGCACACAGCACAGGCTCAAACAACAGAGCACAGGCTCAAACAACAGAGCAAGGCACGGACGTCTTGACTCAGAGCTCATGTGATAAAAGTTAAAAGGATCACACAGTGCATCACTCGTTTTATCTAAGCAGCAGTTAAATTGGGTGAAACAAGCTTTTAAAATACAAAAGCACATTACAAAAAGATGCTTTGTGCATTCTACATAAGAAGTTTCTCATAATTTCCATAACATGCAAACAGATGGCACAAAGGAATCCTGAATTAAAATTGTTGAATCAATACTATAACAGAAAAAATGTGGACAAATTGGTTATTAGGATGACAAACATTAAAAACATTCTGAATTTAAGAGATTCAAATCTCACACATACTAATGATGTGCAAGTTTTTGAGTCACACTTCATTTCTTGTATTTTGCTAGGAAAATGGATAAGAGGCAAATAAAGTTGGAAAAAGGTAAAAAGAGTATAGACGGCAAAAACGGAGGTTGTAGAATTCCAACCAGCATGAAAGCCAATAGTTGGTATGACTGCCTTTATCCTTCAACACAGCCTGAACTGTCTCAGGCAAAAAAGTGTCATATTTGAGTATTAGTGATGCAGTGATGCCACGTACTGACAATCCTGAGCACAACAACAAGACAAACCCAGTCACTGAGGATGAGAGCAGCATGTCTGCCTTCAATTACAATTTAGCACCCAGGAAGTGAGCTGCTTCAACAACCTCCAGCGAAGAACAAAAATATGTAAAATATGCAATAAAAGCACTCAAGTTAAACACGGAAACAACAAACAGGCTAAGAGGTGCATGAGAATATGAGGGTGAGAACTGGTCATATGCAACCCAAAGTAAACAAAGGACTGGCTTGCTGCATACCATGTGACAGGAAGAGGAAGAGAAACGATGGATGGACTGGTGCTCTACTGATGCAATTACATGCAGAAAACGAAAGCTTTCAGCAACTGGTTAAAAAACGTTATCCAAGGAAGAAGTTATTGTTTTTAAAAAACAGTGTTAAGCAGTTACCTTTACATCCAATTTTCAGGGAAAATTCTACTTGGGCCAGATTTGACTTCTGCTGTGTCACTGCTGCTACAATGTTGCTGCTGCTGACACCTTGTGGCAGTAGATTCACACTTGGCAGTATGCAATCAATAGAAATGAAGGCCTTAAAATGTTCTTTATTTATAACTTGGCATCCTTAGCCTTTCCTCTTACTTTCCTTCTTCTCTTTCCTTCTTGAGAGCCTGTGATGATTTATGAGGCTTTGGCTCAACTGACCAACTAAAATTGTTTCTTTGCTAAGTTGTCTGTTATGTGTTGACACAACATTCATTCATCCCTTAAGTGCTTAAATAGGCCAGTGTTAAGTGATTAACTGGAGTAAGAAAAGTAAAAGGACTAATGAAAAAGCAGCCAACGTCCAAAGACAAAGTTTGAAAGACCTTAAGAAATCCCGGAGAATTACTGCTCTTTACTTACTTTTAAAAATTCCACGAACGTCGGGCTGCTTGGAAGCAAGAATCAAAGACATGAGGTGTGGTTCAAGACTTGTGCGCAGTACTGTATGTTGTCAGAAATCTGACACTGTCCCCTTTACCTCTTTCCTGTTTTCCTCTTGACCACTGAAACTCTACTCTGCACTAATCACTTGTGCCCCCTTCCTTCACTGCACCCTACTCTTATTCCTTTCTTCACCACTCTCTCTCTCTTTGCCGCTGAAACACTACTCTGGGCTAAATTTAGGACCAGTGTGATCCAATATTCCTCATTACATTTCCCACACCTCTCTCCTACCATCGTACATTTCAATGCCTCATCGTATTCCACGGTTTTTCCCATGTCTCACATTCATTTACTCTGTGTTCTTCTAACTGGGTCCTGTTCGCTTTGGGAATACATCGAAAGGAAGTATGAAGGGATTAAAACTGCTCCAAAACACTCAGTATATCAAAGACAGACGTACCTCTGGGTCTGAAAAGTGGGACAATTGCCAAAAAAATGCCATATTTCAAACAGCCAACAGGGAGCGACTCTTATTAAGAAAAGACGTCTGTTTTCATAACAATCAATAGAGAAACAACACTACTTCTGCACTGATTTATGACCTCAGTAAACACTTTCTTAATGAGCTCATGGGCTCGGTGGTTAGTTTTGAGGCTCATTTAAGAAATTCTATATTTTTTTCAAATTATATAACATTTATAGAGAATGCCATGCCAAACCTGTGTGGTTACTTTGTGATTGACAGGTCATCACCATATATGCACACAGTGTCCAGGCTTTTTTAGTCAGACTGACCTCTTAACTTGGCAAATGTTTTAAATGGGTTTTTGATCTGTTGTTGTGCTTGTTGGCATGAAGTACCTACAGCTGGACAGTGGCAACTTAACTTCTTATAATAAGGAGTTGGTAGGGCCAGCCAGGACAGACTGGAACTGGGCCACCTATCATATGGTGGACGGGCTGTCACGTGGCGAGAGGCGTGGTACACCCTGGGCAGGTTATCAGCCTGCCGTAGGGCTAACACAGAGATAGACAACCATTCACACTCAGATTCACACCTATATCCAATTTAGAATTGGACTGTGGGAGGAAGCTGGAGAACCCAGAGAGAACCCACCCATGCAGACTACACACAGGAAAACCAGGCCAGATGGAGGAGCAGAGATGGAGCAGGATCTTCTTCCTGTGACACAACAGTGCTAACCACTGATTATCTATACAAATATTGCAAAAGAAACTCAATGAAATGTTCATATTTTCTGTGCATTTCATAAACAGAACAGAAAAAAGAAAATCAGGAAACCATAAATCTGATACATTTTCTGTCTCTAACCACACTGCTCTGGAAGATAATTAGAGGTTTTTTGTTCTTTTTGGATAATTTACTAATATTTTTCCCAACTGAATTATGTCACATCATGAGCAGGTATCGCTCTGTACAGAGAGGGATTTATATAACAATGTGAGTTAAGCCACTATATGTCGTCATGTGCAGTCAAAGCCGACGCATATGAAGCGTTTCTAAAATAGAGGCCGGTTTAACTCCACGCATTCTCTGCATGACTGCCAGCTCTGGCCACGTGTCCTGATTGTAAGAAATCTGTCAGAGTTTTTTTATTATCAAATTTAAAAAAGGACACATAAGAAATGGGAAAGATGTTACCACAGCCTGCATAGTATCCAAAAGCACAAACACACACACACGACAGATTAGATAACTTTGCACTCTCTCAGGTACTCGTAGGCGTACGATTTCAACAGCCATTAAATTCTATAGGTCACTCTGATCACCAGCCTTCACATTCCAGCCTCTCAACACCACTGAGGAGGGCTGCTGTATGGCTTAGTCTGTCAGAGTGATTTTTTTAATATATATTTTTTATTTGCTTTTAACTAACCATGAATTAAGCAGGAAAATAACTCAGGAGATTAAAAAGACAGCACTGCAATCAAAGGCAGCTTCACGGACGAGTATCTTACAAGTACACAAAGCAAAAATACAGAAAGTATAAATAAAATAGACCTTCAGAAAGGTCTGAGAGTGTGGGGATTTCAATCCTAATTTGATAGGCTTTAAATATTCAGCAGTGTAAAGTAAAAAAAACAAGCTACCTCTAAAACTTGTGATGTCACTTAAAGCAGTCATTATTTATGAAAGCAAAGAATGTTCATTTCCATCTAATACAGCATGAAATTGAATTCATGGATTCATAATAACAATTTTCAGTATACGGATATGTGTACAAAGGCATATTGTCAGCAGTCATCACTCTTATGTTCCACTGTTTGTTACCTAATGAACATTTATGATGTTTAAAGACTGTTAAAACTGTTATCCTGGCAACTAAAGCCAAAAAGAGTTTAACATTTCTCTTCTTAACACACTGAAATACACCCATGTGTACCACTCGCTTCACAAACCAGTATAATGTGGCATGTATGTGTCAGTAACAGCATGGGAGATTTCTGTTTCCCAGTTGTGTACCAGGGTTTCTAACTTTTCTTATCATTATAATATTCAACTTCATTAAAAATCAGAAATCATTTAGAATAAATGTTTCAATTAAACCATAACTATCTTTTATAGCAGCTGTCCATGGTCCGGGGCCATGGATGGGCCTTGAGGCTGAAATTTATGGTTTTCAGGGTTTTTATCATCATTCTGTTATCATTTTTATCGTTAACTCGGTTTTCCTGGGTCTTTTCCTATGTGTTATGAATAAATCTTTTTCTTTTTTTTGTAGCGGTACTAGTTTTATTTTGTTGTATTTATCCGCGATATCTTAAAGGCCGGTCTGTGAAAATGTTGTCGGACATAAACCGGTCGGTGGCGCAAAAAAGGTTGTTTTACATCCTGTCCGTTACATCAGAAGAAAAGCAATGCACTTTTTCCCACCATGCTTTTCCTTATTTTTTGTGAAAGGTCCAGATGCTTACATTACACAAAGCCAAATTTGAACTAAAAAGATCAGTGTATGCACAAGGGACCAGTTTTGCACGAGGAAGCTATTCATAAGAAAGAGAGGGAAGGGAGCTCGAACAGCTTGCTTCAGACAGGGGATGAACTGATGAGCTACAGCAAGGCCAAGACCCATGACATGAATCAATGAATCAGCTATGAATCAATGACAGCCACTCTACTAAAGTCACACAATAAAAATATAGAGTGTCACTGATCCACCTCAAAAAACTAAACTTTTGCTTATTATTGTAGATGTAAAAAAACATTTATTCAATAGAAAATACAAGCTAACAGTGAACAATCAGATATTAAGAAAAGAAAAACACCAACAACAAAACAACAAACAAAAATGTTTCCAGTTCTCTGGTCTCCTAAACAACTCAACAACAAGAAAAAGAAGATTCAGAGTTGTGTAACAGAACCTCTCAAAGCTGTAATGAAAACCCGCCAGATGTTGAGAGACGCTCTTCACACTGCTTTGTCCCAAAAGACACGAGCAGCTACATGAATGCTGCAAATGCATGGTCAGGTTTCCCCTCTTTGGAAACATATGGAAAACCACCTGGGACACACACATGTACACGCACAAAACCCCCTAATACACAGAAACTGTTGACATGCAGAGTCATGCACTTGTCACAGAAGCCTGTCCCACATGTGCAAAGACCAAGCAGGGCTTAAGAAGCGAGGCACAGAGAGGGTAGCAAACAGGTGGCCAGCAGAGACGGTAGGAAAGAAGTAGCGAGACAGCGTCACAGGGGCGAAGGAGCTGCACAGCATCTGAGCACCTGTTTGCACGCCCGTGTGTTTGATACTGCTGTTACACATCACCTTGTCGCATGCTGTTCATTCACAAGGACGCAGATTAGTGTGGACGATACAGGTGCGTTATGCAGGACTCCCGCAACAAAACTGCAGACGCATGCTAGATATGAAACATCAAGGCTGGTGTAGACATGGCACAAGGACAGAGACAGACAGAGAGCGAAAGAGAAATGAAAGAGAAGGGACACTGACCAGGGTTTGCTTGTATCTAAGAGCTTTCCTTTCCGACGCATCTGCAGCCATTGACACACTGTCACTGACCCAAAAATAAACCTACCCGCTCACCGTCTGTCTCAGCAATACCAGTACTGCTGTGGACGCACAGCCAGGACGCGCTTACACACAAACACGCACATACACACATACACTGAAAGGCATGGATTCACACCGCACACACAAACACAAATAGTTCCAGCTGGGGTTACCCCTGCAGTACTCCAAGCTATCTGTAAAATGAACTCAGATTTAATGAGACAGACTAAATACCAAGTGAATAATATACTAACTGAACTAGTTGTTGCTCAATATTTAAAGAGCTGCAGGTCAACCAGGTCATGAAAAGGGAGAAGCTCAGCGTTTCTTTGGAGGGGAATCCTGGTTATTCAACCTTGAGTTAAGATGTTACTAATCCATCCAACAGTATTAAGAGATCTGTTAGTTTTTTTTAAATAAGATGCAGTTTTTAAAACTAATTAGCTAGCTGCTAATTTTGACTGCCTAGGTAGTTTAAGTCTGATTATCAGTGTTAGAGGTCAGCACTTTGTGTTTTCAGTGCTAAAGAACAGGTGGTGAATGCTAAATAGTTTAATTTGTTTCGTTGTTATGCAAATTCTGTGAAAACATGCACAATAACAACGTGTCTTTTCAAAACTCAGACAAAAAAAAAGCAAAACTCTTCAGTCTGTTAGCTCCTTACATGTAGACTGTTTAAGTACAGAAATTCAAAATGAATCCTTTCAGCAGGAAGGGACCAAAACAGAACTTCCCAAAGAATCTGGAAAGATAAATTGTCTCATGAGTTAATCAGCAGTAACCACAGTCCAGCATGGTTTATGGCTGATCCCTGTAGAGCAGCGGTCCCCAACCCCCGGGCCACAGACCGGTACCGGTCCGTGAGTCGTTTGGTACCGGCCGCGAGAGTTGAGGCTCAGGTATGAAATGTATAGTTTTCAGGGTTTTTATCGGTTTTCAGCGTTATTTTGTTATCGTTTTTATCTTTAACTCGGTCTTCCTGGGTCTTTTCACGTGTGTTATGAATAAATCTTCTTTTTTTTGGTACTTGTACTAGTTTTATTTTGTTGTATTTATCCGCGACACCGTGAAAATATTGTCGGACATAAACTGGTCCGTGGCGCAAAAAAAGGTTGTTTTACAGCCTGTCCATTACATCAGAAGAAAAACAATGCACTTTTTCCCACCATGCTTTTCCTTATTTTCTGCTATATTTTCTGTGAAAGGTCCAGATGCTTACATTACACAAAGCCAAATTTGAACTAAAAAGATCAGTGTATGCACAAGGGACCAGTTTTGCACGAGGAAGCTGCTGTAGATCCTTATAATGGCTGAACTGGTTTGCTCTGCTCTCCAGTCACACATGAAACTGGGTTATTCAAACTGGAATGAGGAAATAAACACTGGGAATTTGTTTTACAAATGAAATGCTTTAAAAGAAAGAAAAACTGGCTCAAAGACCTGTTAGAATGAAAATGAGGGACAAGTGAGTTTGTTAGACATGCCTGTAAACTTGATTGTCAATGCAAATATCTAAACTGTGAGTTTCATGGCAGCAACTCGGTGCATTCAGGCAGTGACGTAAAGATGACCAGCTCTGGGTGAAAAATACCCTGCTGATGTCAGAAAACATGCCCAGACTGGTTCAACTTTACAGGAGAGCAACAGGAGCTCAAATAACCATTTGTTACAACAAAGGTAAGCAGGTATTTAACCAGGGAGCACAGCTACAGCTGCAGACCACACGGTACCATTCCTGTCAGCTAAGAACAGGAAACTCATACAATTCATATAGGCTCACCAAAACTGGACAATAGGAGACTGGAAAACACATCGGAGATTCACATGATCTATGCTGTGCAAAACTGATGCAGTTCTGAAGGTAAATGGGGGTCTAATGCAGTACTAGCAAGGTGCACCTAAAAGTGCAGATGAGTGTATGTCTACATTTTTAAAAATATTAGCCATTGCTGCTATAATTTCTCTCTGGATGATCCCTGTGACGCACTGCCAACCTGTCCAGCTCTATGACAACAAGAACTCCAGGCCTCCCGGGACCCTAACTTGGATAAGCAATTAAGAAAATGGATGCAGGGGCATTACCCTTGTAATAATCAGGTGTACATAATAATCTGTTTTGTGTACATGTAGCTGCTTTTCTTGGAGCGTGTATGTCAGGCTACAGCAGAGGTTACAGCATGTGGGGTGTAATATTTAATGCTGTGGTACAAATCAAGCTTCAGACAGTGAAGTAATCTGCTTTCAAACACACATTTGCAGAATTCCAATGCATACTAGAGGTGGAAAAGAAAGAAATAGTGACTGAAGCAACAGATGGGCTGCCTAACAGAACAATAATCATGATTAAGCAAAACCTCAGAAATGTAAACAATATCAAAAGTTCTTTCTCAGAACAGAAGCAGCTAAAAGAAACACACAGAACAACACAATCAGAAAGCTTTAAACAACTCAAGCAAAACATAAAATCTTTGCTTGTGTCTTAAACATAAAAAAGCCTAAACAGCAACAACATACGCTGAGGTGTGGCACACAATATGTAGTGCTGGTTACCTCTGTGTTGCCCTGATGAACTTGTGCAGGTTGAAACCAGAGACAGCAGTGAGAGCACCAGGACAGATTTCCATGATGGTTGAAACCAAAACAGCCACGGCAGTTTCACCGTGCTCCTAAAGGAAGGTAAAAGTGGAAAATCCAGAAGGATTAAACCTGTGGCCTTCAATAGCAAGGCCACTACAATGACACTTCACACAGGCTTTCACACTAAAGCTGCAAATATTCGAGTGTGCCTTGGATATGTTTGCTCCTACTCAGACTTCAGGCCTCTTCAAAATGGATCTGCATGTGGTTTACTTTGCTCATCTTTTTGTTTCATCTGAAGTGTAGGCCTAAAGAAAAACAAAGAGGAAATGTCACTAATTAATACCAGAATAGTCCACCTATACACTCTAATTACAGCTGCTAAACCAGGATTTGTGTTGGAAGGGTTAAATTAACTCCCCAGTGTGCATCTTTGCATTAGTCCCGCAGAAGCACTGGTGAGAAAGCTCTGCTGTGTTTTGTGCTTGGACCACACAGAATGGATCATATGGGACAGACACAGCTGCTTTAACAAGTGCAAACTAACCACCCTTGATCACACCTTTCCAAACAGAGTGGAAAGGTGTGATCAAGTTGAGAGTTGCCTGTTTAATATGTAAATAAATCGCAGTACTGCAGTATAGTGGAGGAATCATTATTTATTCAGCTACGATAGTTGGACAGGTGCACTGTTTGAGCTTTCACTGTCTGTGTATATTCAACAACTACTACATTTAACTGCAGGCCAAGTCTGCAATTAAACAGACTGTTTGCTATGTAGTCCAGTTTTTCTGCAGCTGATGGAATAAAAGTTATTACGCATTTCCACCCACTGGAAAACTCCAAGTTTGTCAGCTAATAAATCCACCCAGCCAACACATACACACATACACAGAGAGAAAACATGAGCAGTGACACTCAAAAACAAATACAACACTGACTGCGGACTATGTGCAGGTGATAAAGCTGAGAAAGAAAAAGTGTCGGTGGTGGGTGTGGCTAACCTGAGGGAGAGAGACTGAGAGAGAAAGACTGGAGAAAAGTCACAAGTGAGAGAACTGAAACACAGATCCTACCTTCACTGATGTCTTCAATGGAAATGTGTCTGTGTGTGGATTTCTCTCCATACTTCAGGAAACCATGAAAACGGAGGATTTGTATTTGTTTCGTAGCTTATATGAGACTAAGGACAAAACTACATGCTTTGGATACAAGAAGCATCCAGAATCTGATACGTACACAGCACCACAGAGTCAACCAGCAGGTATGATTCAAATATATATGTGTCAGACTAACATACTAAATAAAATGAAATGATATTAAACAGTGGTCAGATTTTTAATTTGAGGCTTGATTTCTCTTTCCTTTTAAATTGAAGACTGAACAAGAAGTTTCACATCACTGTAAATTTAGTACGCCGGCTACGTGTTCTGATGCCTTAATTTTGTGCACTAGCATTTGCACATATGTGTGTGTGTGTCTTAAATTTTTCCTGTTTGTTCTCACTGTGCATGTGTGTGTAGAGAGATGGCAGAGCCTTTTGTTGTGCGTGCAGGCGTGTTTTGGTTTTGTCATAGTGTGTGACTATGACAGAACAATGCAGACAAACTGGTTTAGTGACACTGACACAAGTTACAGAGACTGTGCGTGCACGCATATGTGTGCATGCATGTTCTGCCTTTTAAAAATGCTTACCACATACCAGTGTGTCTCTGTAAGGGTGTGTGCGTGCATGTGTCACAGCAGCAGTCAGTCAGTAATAAGCTCTGATGGATGAGGATGACATTTCATTTACAGAACCTGAACAAGCACACGTACCTTTAGATCAGTCGCAGTTGATGGTTTTGATCCCATTGCTTCACCACGGCAGCCTGTGGTGCTGAAACTGCTGTTTGAATGACTGAAAAGAAAAAGGTAGGCACGCGTGTTATTTTTAACAAACATTATTTGACTTAGAAGACTTTAAAGGAAACTTCTCAAACAATCCTCTCCATTCAGAAATACATTCAATATGGTGACATGAAGTACTGGTTGATATTAACAAGTCATACTGTACAACTCATTTGAGATGTTAATAACTTCATACATATCACGATTGAGTGCCGCACTATGATGTAAACATCATACACTTAGTGTTTGTAGTATCTCTGCTCACAGGATCATTGATCCTTTTTTCATATTTATATTTTTAGCATTTTTGTGCTTGTCTGTGAAGGTTCTCAGTCATCCAGGTCATCGTAGTCAAAGGAGCTTGCAAAGAAAAGCGTCTGGACTTCTTTAAGTTGCTTGAAGACATTTCACCTCTCATCCGAGAAGCTTCTTCAGTTCTAAGGTCAAATGGTGGAGAGTCCCAGATTTAAACCTAGTGGGAGTTTCCCCCCACAGAGGGACAAAAGGACCCCTGATGATCCTCTAATCGCCTGAGCCAAGGTGTGAAAGGAGGTTTAAATCTGGGACTCTCCACCATTTGACCTTAGAACTGAAGAAGCTTCTCGGATGAGAGGTGAAACGTCTTCAAGCAACTTAAAGAAGTCCAGACGCGTTTCTTTTCAAGCTCCTTTGACTATTTTTGTGCTTCTTCGAAAGAAAACAAGTAACTATCAGATGATTTGTATGGCGCAGTCTTCTCTGACAGCTTCAGACTCATGAACAAAGCTTTTCTGGTTACCAAGTGATGCCACGGACCCCCCAACCACACATTGGAAACTATTGATCCAATAGTTTGCAGATAGAAACCAAACCAGAAACAAAACTGCAGCGTTAAGTTAAGGTCAGCAATCTAAAAACAGTCTCAGCAGTGTTCAAAAGTCTGTTTTATGGCACTACTGAGAAAACCATGAGACTAATTTCATAAATTTATATAACAACAACCATAATTACAGACAACTGTTGAACTTTTAAGCAATTTAAGATAAGCTGATTTTTGTTCATCTGCTACAAACAGGATTATTCAAACTCGCTGAACGAGGTTGTGTTTTTGGAATAACCTGTTTTAAGCATCTGCAGAAAAAAGTCTTTGTTTCCAATGTCGTGACCTGAGTGACTTTAATCCCCGAGTCATGTGATTAGGTTTTATTTGCTTAATGACTTTATCGCATCTGTGAGTAAATAACGCTGCTCTTCTTGTGATCACCTGAACATCAGGCGCCAAGTGTGAAACACTCATGTCTATATTTGCTAAACAAATTAAACAAACAGGAGAGTGTGCTTCCCTGAGAAGAAAAGGTTGTAGAAGTGTGTGTCTGAATCCCCCATTTATGACCCAATAGCACCGTAATCGTACTGGGAATGAACAGCCATCACATGCAAATACGCGCAGTCAAACGTGCATGGGAGACATCTGCAGAGACATATACTGCAAATGTTTTCATTCTGATCTCCCATTTCCTCTTTAGTGTTGTGCTTTACATCAGTTCCTCAGCGGAACACGGTTTCTTGTAATTAAATGAATTATTAACTAATTAGTGATTTTACTTTTTTCCTTTATTTAGTTTTTATTTGTACCTTAAATAATTTTATTATTTAGTTCCAATGGACAGCACTTTGCATCAGTTGTGGTTTCTTTTAAAGTGCTTTATAAATAAAGATGACGATGATGATTTTCCTTGTACAGAGCCACCTTCAGATGAATAATATTTGAAAAACTCTGGTTTTAATAAAAATGTCCAGCGTGGCTGTGGCTACAATGTAGCTGCCATCACCAGTGTGTGAATGTGTGTGTGAATGGGTGGATGACTTGTTGTGTAAAGCGCTTTGGGTCCTTAGGGACTAGTAAAGCGCTATACAAGTACAGGCCATTTACCATTTCAAATTAAAGACGTTTTTTATATCACCTGTGTGATTGAATTAGTTGAACCGGCTGCTGTACGTCACGAGGCTTTTATGGGTTTCGGGTCACTGCTAGTTGATGGCTATAATGACATCTGCTCTCTCCATTATTGTTGTAACCAATAGCTGGTCAGCACCACACGTTCACCAAGCACACCCTGGTATATTTGCTCTGTTAGTCCAGATTAAAAGGTCACTGCTAATATTTGTTATGTGAATCTAGATGGAATAAAAGGCCAAAGTCAATATTGAATTGATTTGCTAACGTTGATCACTAACAGTCTGTATGTCTGTGGGTGTGTGTCCTGCTGGACTGAACTTCACTGTTCATACAGTCACTAGCTGAGTGACTGTGTAAGCTGTGAGGATTTCAGGTTGCTGCTGAGCAGCGATATCTAGCTCATAGTAACGTTGATCTGTGTTCTGCTTTCCCTCTCCAGCATGTCATCATCCAGCTCTACAAACGTTACTGTGTGTGCATCGAACGACACCCTGTGCAGTAAGTGCTCTAATCCTACTTATTCCTTTCCTTTGCTTCCTCCTTGAACAATCTCTCCCACCTGGACCTTTCAGTTCTTCTCTTGGGCGATCACATAGACGCTTCTATTAAGCTTATGTGACCTTACAAATTATTCTACTCCAGACATCTTGTTTATTATGAACTTTTGACTTTAATGACACCAACTTAACAGCTTATCTTGTACTTGATTGAGTTGAAACCTGAAACTCAGTATCTAAGAAACCCAAAGCTTAATGTGCATCTAAATAGTTTTTTCATATATATATATATATATATATATA